GGAACTTTCTTGACTACCCCGTGGGAACTTTTTGACTACGCCGTGAGAACTTTCCTGACTACGCCGTGGGAAATTTCTTGACTACACCGTGGGAAATTTCTTGACTACGCCGTGGGAACTTTTTGACTGCACGGTGGGAACTTTCTTGACTACGTCATGGGAACTTTCTTGACTACGCCGTGGGAACTGTGATCACATCATAAAGACACTACATGCAAAGCCATCACCATTAATAGTACTAATCAGACTATGGACATGTGTACGTGTTCGAAATCAGATTCAAGTATTGATGTGCATGCATCGAATGTTGAAAAGTACCGAATGTAGGGGGTACGAATGGGACAGCAACCAAACAGAACACGACCACTACAGAACAATCACATCATAAAAACACTACATGCAAACCTCTCAATATAGAAAACAAACATCGTGGTGTTGTATTCACATACATACATAGCTGTTAAAGCTAAACAAGCAACGCAAGGGCTAGGTAGATCACAGGGGGAGATAAATATTATAAAAATATTTAAACTCATTGGCGGGCGGACGAGTGCTCTCTGCTCACAAAGAGTACAAATTGCTTGCCGATATAGCTGCTAGTTACATAGATAATTCTGCAAATAGGAACGGTTGGACTATGACATCCTGTGATAATGGACTCGATTTAGTGTTCTTTAGGCTAGTGTACTTCTCGGGCACCACAGCCCCTGCGACACAGACTGTAAATATCATACATAGTGGCGGGTTTGTCGACCGAAATACTGGTAAGTTTCATTTGACATACCGCACCCCTTTGCCTGCTCGCCAGAAAGGAAGATCGAAGGGTGTGCAATCACAAAACATAGTAGATCATACACGCTACAACATTATAGTCGCTACATGGTCCGGCGCAAGTAAAAACACAAATAAGACAGCACAATCCAGTGCACTAGAGTTTTTAAACTGGCAATGGAAGATCATAAACTCAGGTAACTCAGTAATCGACGGTGTGCAGCCCATAGCATCTGAGAAAATTGCTGAATGGACGGAGAAGAATGATAGAATGGCACCGACTACAAAAGCGGTATCGAGCAGATGTGCGACTATGAGTTCAGTCAAACGACTGACCCTATATATCTATGCACACACCCATACTTTATGTACATATATAAGTGCACACACACATACTCGATGTATATATATTTACACATATGTCTATAGCACTCATACTATATGTATGTATATATTCATATATCTATGTACACTCACACTTAATGTATATATCTATGCACACACCCATACTTTATGTACATATATATATGCACGCACATATACTCGATATATTATATATATGTATATATAATATATATGTATATATATATATATATATATATGTGTGTGTGTATAAAGTAGTATAGTAATATTGTACTCACCTTAGAATATTGCCGAGTTTAAAGTGCAAATTTGACGCCCAGTAAGCCTGTATACTTGACTGCTGTATCTGTGAATGGATTGGATAGCACAAATAGCAGTCGTATCCATTTTAGGGAAGGAATCGGTGCTTTGAACGGTGTCTTCCCATCTGGATATTTAATTTTGTGTTGCGCACACATATCTCCTTCGACCTGGTCCTTTAAATCCCTTATGGATACTATTTCAGTCATGTGGAGTGCATCACCGTGTCGACGTTCGCTGACGCTGGCTTGATTGTGGAGACGTATCTTGGCTGCCTCTTAAAACTCCACAAATTTGCCACGACGTGCACGATTATTGTCTACAACAATCTTCGGCAGATCAAATTCATCGACACCTCCTCTATAAGCTCGATTAAGATCGTTTTATACAGCCGTCTGATTCTTGAGTTCTGTAGTATCTCCAGTGATGCACTGGTATAATACATTTATATACTCCCTACTTTGTTCTACACACGCTGGTGCCAATTTTCTCGTATTGCGTCGGAGCTCTCGACTTCTGAAAATCTCCAGCTTTTTAAAGCATGCTTTCGTTGCCAAACATGTTTTGGCTTCCGTAATGGTCACTTTCATTCTCTGGCAGTCTGAATGCCACGTATTGAGCTGGTATATTATTGCCATGATTTTTAGAATACATCATATCCACTGAAGTGCTCAAGTGCTCATAGTATCCTGGTCGGTGCTGTGGCATTATAGGTGCATATGTAGATACATCTATCGGCGTGTAAGGCTGCAAATTTTTAATTGCATCATCATTTCAATGTACGTACGCGAAATATTCTGATTCATCGGAATTGTCTTCAACTGTACCCCATTCTCCCAGCTACGAACCGGCTCCATCTATGCATGATTCTTGGTCACTTTTTCGAGTTGCTTTTGAAGGTACACCTCATACTTATTGAGCGAACGTAGTAGCGCAAGAAGATCTGATCTAACCTCCACCCAAGCCTTTCCCCTAACTGCGAGTATCCCTGTTTCGCATGTAAGTAAGGTTCCGGTATTGGATCGACACCATTCTTCTTGCTAAACTTATCCTGGTGACCATCAATATGTCAAGCCAAAATCAACACTGTCATCACTATTTTGGACACAATAATAATTCGGTACATAGGAAACTGCCATACAAAAATGTCAGATGTCAGACGTGTCTTAATAATGCTCTGTCAACAGTGCCATACCAGAACTGACACTTATATTCCTAAGGATAATATTATTTATTTCAAAAATGGCAAGTATGTATGATACAATGTGTCTTATAATAAGACTTACGTATGAACTCCTTATGCACATGTAAAAGAATACATGTTTAAGCTCTCACTAAAGAGAATAATAAACTATACTATACATGGATTCAAATGTTCTAACAGGTTATGGGCCTTTGGTAAACATCACGTCTACCATACCTTCATAGTATCTTTATTTTGCTATATTTCATACAGCCCCGCATTCAGCTACCACACAGCCACACGCATCTGCTGGTACCACACTCACGGTATCACATATAGCACACATCACGATGCCACTTTCAGTTGAAGTCCTCACTCCTCCTCTTGAGTTTGTTACACTCAACGATGCCCGTGAAATTCGCGACACTAACTGGCCTGGCTGTCCTCCCTACGGCTCTCTTAACGAAGCCAATTCTCACCGCGCAAGCATTCATTCCATGCTTCCCGAATTCAATCTTCGCTCACACGACATCCCAGTCAGCACTCTTCAAGTACTACTCCATCAGTAAATCTCTTCTGAACTCCCTTTACAAGGCTCATATATCAAAAGAACAATGATCGAGTCTTTCCCATGTAGACTACTGTTGATAATACTCCTCTTTCTCAATTCCACACCCCACCTGAAGATGTTCCTACACTTTGACAAGTTGCTACCGCTTGCTCTACCTCCACCACCCCCACACTTTCCATTTCCCCCACTGCCACTACCCCCGCCACTCCTGTTCTCCCACCTGAGTCTTTCACTTACACACTCCCACCACCTCCGACACCACCACCAACTTTGACCCCCCCCACCCCCAAACCCGCCAATTCAGGGGAGGATACCGCTGGTATCCTCAGTGCTTCAGGGGAGGATTCCCACCACATGCACAGTGATTCAGGGGAGGATAGTGATCACGTTCATAGTGATTCAGGGGAGGATGACACCGGTGTCAGTGATTTCGTCGAAAATGACGTCGACATCTGCAGCGATTTCACACAAACTCCTTCTTCTTCTGACATGACCGCCATCCACCACTCTCCCAGGCCACGCCACTCCACCGGCGCTTCCACCACACCGCCTCCTACAACCCTGGAAGATACTGTCAATACCGATCTGCAAACACATATTGTCCTCAACCCATCTACCCGCACCCTCCGCAGTCTCCTGTTGTCACTCCGTACAAACAGTGGCCCACTTAATGCGCTTACCTTACCCAACAACATGAGAATGACCCGCTAACGCGCCCGCCAGATGCACTCTTATAATACCCACGGCCAAATACCATTTCTCTCGTTTCTGGCAATGGTTCATCACCCTCCCGCCGCTCTGATGTACACTGGGCAGCCGACCTTGAACGCATTGGCCAATCAGTTTCTCCTCTGGATATTGCTCGTTATGAGTCTCTCGATCCTTCCTTGCCTCTCATCACCTCCCCAAAAGAGATGCTTCTCAAACATAAATATGCCAATATCCTCACACTTTTCAAACGTCGTCGACAATATGCCAAAGCTGACAAATGACTCCGTTGTTCCATATCACGTCTTGGCCAATCATCAGCTCGCCCCGTTCTTCTTTCCCTACCATCATCTCCCATGCGGCAACTAACTCCCATTCCACCTCACAACCCTGCCCTTTCTTCCGCAGACCAACAACTCTATGACGACACCGCTCACGAAATCTCTACCGCATGCGCTGCTATCTAATCTCACCCACTTACACCGAGCACTCCGTGGTCCCAATGCCGATCTGTGACGCGCTGCTATTGAGCGTGAATTAGCAAGTCTTGCCCAATCCGGCACACATGACTTGCTACAGCCCGATGCTGTCCCTGACAAAGCTTTTATAGTTTCTAGCAAGTGGGTATTTAAAGTAATAATGATTGAAGGTATTATTTGTTGACAAGTACAAAGCTCACTTGTGCGCCCGTGTTTTTCCCCGAACCCAATGCATCAATTGCGACGAAACATATGCCCCCACGTGCTCTCATGACACACTCCGTACTGTTCTTGCCGTCGCGGCTTCTCAAGGCTGGTTCGATGAAATGGATGTCGACACTGTTTATTTATATGATCTTGATGAACCCATCTACATGCGCCTCATTACCCACGAATTCAGCTGTAAGGAAATGGGGAGACCTCACTGGTTCCTGTTTAGTTCAAGACAACTACATATGCAAAGCTCTAACAACTTCTGCCCTTCTCGACGCCCATGTCGCCCCTACCCCTGCTACTCAAGACATCATCGGTACTAACGACGGCTCCCGCTTCGACTGTGCCTATCGTAAGCTCGTTGGTACCCTCCAATGCTTGTCCGTGCTCACACGCCCTGACATTAGTTTTCCCCTCAACAATCTTGCGCGCTACATGGCCAATCCTTCGCGCACACATTGGACCGTGGCACAACGCATCCTTCGTTATCTTAAAGGTACTAGTGATCTTGGCCTTACATAGCGTTCTCATTCAGGCCCTCCAATTCTTGACGCATACGTCGATACCAATTACAATGCATATCTTGATACTCGTCGTTCGACTACTGGTTTTCTCCTTCGCATTAATGGTGTCCCCGTATCTTGGAAATCCAAAAGACACAGTCACTACCAGTACCACTGAGACTGAATACTACGCTGCCTCCGAGGCCAGCTAACAAATCCAAGTTGTCCACAATCTTCTCAGCGAACTCGGTTTCCCACCTTCTACTCTCACACCTCTATACTGTGACAACAAGTCCGCTATTCATGACATTACTGACATCGACACCAACAAACATCTTAAGCATGTAGGAGAGACTACAGTAGAAGACGTATTTCTATATACGTTGATAACGCTTTACTTCGTCAGCCCGAGAGTAATTTGGGATTTGTTCTCAAATTAATATAAGTATAGGTGGGTCAGCCCGAGAGAACGTAAGAGTAATTTGAGACTTCTTCTCAGATTGTTCTATTTATAGGACACGGGCCACCGGCTAGCCGAGAGCCGAAGTCCGAGACTGAGTGTAGTAACAAAGAATATGATATAATTATTTCTGGAAAATATATCCGAGTGCTAAAGTGTTCTGCATAAGGTTTCTCATACTGATCATATGAGTTTTTACCCTGGCCACCCCAAGTGGTTGATATGAAAAAACCCAATAAACATCTTAACCATGTAGACATCCGCATTCACCATGTTCGTGATCTTCAAGCTCAAGGTGTTATCGATACCATGTACGTCTCTTCTTTTGACAATATCGCTGACATACTTACAAAGAATACCCCACGTCCCATTCATTCCCGTCATACCCACATAATCCTGACTACCGTGCCAAAATCACACCTGCAGTCTACGGACACAATCTTAGGGAGAACCAGCACGGTATCCGTCACGGCACTGTATCCGTCTTCTAACCTGCACATTATATCAAATTATGTCCTCAATATGTGTCAACACTTTTGGTTTTATGGGAGGTCAAGCCAAAATCAACACTGTCATCACTATTTCGGACACTATAACAATTCGGTACATAGGAAACTGTCATACGAAAATGACAGATGTCAGACGTGTCATAATAATGCTCTGTCAGCAGTGTCATACCAGAACTGACACTTGTATTCTTAGGTCTTATAATAAGATCACATTATACTTGCGTGTAAACTCCATATGCACATGTAAAAGAAATACATATATAAGCTCTCACTAGAGAGAAGGATAAACTATACTATACATGGATTCCAATGTTCTATCACAATACAGTTGAGAACATAAGCTATGTTCTTAATCGTTGGATCTCCTGGGTAGCTCTGCCGCACTAATCCAACCTCCTTTGATCGTAAATAATCAATTACTATATTTTGATACTTGTTCACGCTATAATTTTCAGTGCTATATGGAGGTAGGAAGGTACTGTTTGATTTCATCAGCACACCCAGAAAATGATCTTGTGACTTCTTTTTAGATGTCGTATCTTCTACTGATAACGGTGCCACCTCTATAGTCACACAATCAAATTCAATGCACGTTGTTTGAATTGATTCAGGAATACGTCCACTGTCATGCTCGGTGGACAAGAACGACGTAAAGCCATACGATCTGCCTGGGTGGGTTTGTTCGGAAGGAAGCCATGTTTATATCCGTATACCTCGAAGTCACTGCATACTAGATTAGCTTCCGTATTGTACATATTGAACAGGCTTTCTACGGAATCAGTCAGCTGAACCTCTTGATGGCTACCCCACGAGGTTGGTTATTTACCAACAGTCGGCCAAGTAAATAAGCCTCCATGTTCAAATCCAGTACCGCTTCCATCTTCGTAAAAAGGCTGCGATACCAAATAAACGAGTGTGTGTATGCGTGTGTGTACGAGATATCTATTATATAAGCTGATCTATCTATACTGAAGCACAGTCGCACGTACATATTCCCAAACCGAAAGTATCTCATAATATTAAAAACGGTCAAAAAGACTGCGCAATTTTGGCGGCTTTATTTTAAAAACAATCGGCCTAACCCCCCCCCCCATAAATAATACATATGACCACCCCCCCCCCTCCCCCTCCCCTCAAGTATAGACTTGAGACATTAGAGTCCTGCCTCCTGCTTAAAATTTGAAAATTTCTAGCAGAAACAAATACCTTTTTGGAACAGCCTAAGATAACGTGCTTGCACACAACCCTCTTGAGCGCCTTGTTGCCTTGACAGTAATCTATAGTGGTGTCTGGAATTGATCGCGCGTAGTCGAATCTGCCATGCAACTTACTGCACCGTATGTTGATGCGACTGTCGTTTTGGGGTAAATGTTTCTGAGCCCATGTATACAGTTCGATTTGACCAGTACTGTAGTATACCTGATTGATGTTCCGAAGGGTCTTGAGAAAATTTATGATAAATGCCAATGCACTGCCTCCGCCGATGAGAGTAATAGGTTTATCCGTGGGCAGTGTGAATCCAAATTTGAAGCCTCGCCATACCATCATACCCTCTTTCATGATCATCTCACGCATTATTCTCGTTTGAGATCGACGAACATTGTGTACTATGACTAGCATTATTTTCTTGTCCATGCGATCAAACATGGTAAAAGGATGCACACGCTCGCCTGTGGTATTTGGCAGTTGAATCTGATACTCGAAGTCGTCATCCGAGTATTTTGAATGGAATGTGCAGCTGAAGTATTGGCTTCCGATATATTCTATTTGTGTATCCTCTGCAAAAACATACTGAAACTTTACATATCCTTGCATGATCCGATCGATAACGAACAGGACAGCCACCGGTATGTTGTAGATCCAGGTGTGAGGATGACTGTGACGCCGTACTGTCTATGAAGTACATAATCGCAATAAACTGGTGCACGCGGATCACGACCCGATAGTTCTCGTCAAAGTTGTAATAGCAGTACGGGATGAGTACTCCTAGAATGATTGTCATAAGGCACAAGCGCCACATATCATCACGCTGCAACATGATCGTCCGGTTTTCTACATCTACCCCTATAAATCCTTCTGGTTTGTTTTCCGAAAATAGTCCGACAAAGTTACCGGTTCTGACTACGGCTGCGTACTGGTCGAATAAGTACGGTGTGAAGATACACCAGATATGAACCATCGTGATGACTGAAATTGTCATTCCCAGTATGATGTGTATGCGCCTCCGTTCAACCCACCATCCATGTCTATTGAATGTGTGCATAGCTACGAAGAACAACCCGTTCATGGCTACCATTGTGAAGCGTCCACTGAATCGAGCCATCCAGTGGTAGAAGTAGGCACCCCCGGGTCCCACTGGAATGCTCATTGCATCATACGAATGCATAGGAAAACCAGGGGATGTAAATCCTTGGCGAGGCAATAGGTTCAAGGTATACCTGTCGATGATAAACAGTACGCTGATTACAGTGAAAACTGTCCAAAAGACCCCCGTGTACGTAAACAGTTGCTGGGACAATATCATGACTTTAGACTTTTGGTAATCCCAGCGACTTTGTGCCGACATCCTTAACTGCAAGCTCTCATGTCTCAAACGAAGGCCCAGTACTGCCACTTCTTCCTCCGTGTGATTCACATTCAACGATTTCCAATTGTCATTCTGCACAGCAAGGGTTTTTGTGGCATCAACAGCGATCGTTGGCAACACTCAGGCTCTTTCCAGTGCAATTATCTTTTGCCAATATACGATAGTCTCTGGCTCCTTGAACAGCGCGTTCTTGTGCCCATACAACATACTCTCAACAAAGCTTTCGGCACCATTGAGAGCATCCATCATGTCGGGAGGGACTTCTAAACCTATATTCTTAGCATCCCAGTTACTCGCCACTCTTTCTCGAACACTAGCCAAAACATTGATGTGCAGAGCGGTGTCTGAACCTGCAAAATGTACCTGAACAATCGAGATGCCAATATCCACTCGGGCTTCGATCTCCTCATTTGCACTAGGAAAGCCACTGAGTCCACAAAGCAATACTCTTTAGACATGAAATGTATTTTTTTTTCGAGGAGAATTGGGTTCGACAATATAAAGTCCATGCTTTCTCTTGTGTTCTCCAGATAAATGTGGCCCACACCGCCTAGCCCGATGTTGGTCAGCCATTGAGAGACTACAGTAGTAGACGCATTTCTATATACGATAATAACGTTTTACCTCGTCAGCCCGAGAGTAATTTGGGACTTGGTCTCAAATTAATATAAGAATCGGTGGGTCAGCCCGAGAGAACGTAAGAGTAATTTGAGACTATATCTATAGGATACGGGCCAGCTAGCCGAGAACCGAGGTCCGAGACTGAGTGTAGTAACAGAGAATATGACATATATTTTTTCTAGAAAATATATCCGAGTGCTGTAGTGTTCTGCATAAGGTTTCTCATACTAATCATATGAGTTTTTACCCTGGCCAACCCAAGTGGTTGAACACTAGTACAAACACTATCAGTATATAACTGAGGGTGAGATCATAAATAGATTCATTCGAATGCACCATACTTTAAATACACTAGCACTGTACTATTAGTCCCCCACATCGCACGCTAACAGCCATTGGCGTCTCAGTTTACTTCCCAGAGCATGAACAGCTGCAAGTCTGAAGGCTTCGATTAGTACCACACACACGACACAAGGGTACATGAACTGCTTGAAGTAGTATAACGTCATTACCCTGGTTGTTGCGTATTGTAAGACCAAATTGACTGCGAGTACCAACATGACCAGCACCAGTACTTGTACGTTGTACCAGTAGTCCAAAAAGAGATATGGAAAGCAAGTCATAATCATCGTTTTTCCAAAATCTGTGCTGTTAAATCTCCAGTTGTACACCCTATTTTGTTGGGCGTGTACGTTGGCAGTGTAACTGGGTATAACCCCGATTATAATCATCACTGTATGACGCAATAGACCTGGCCAATATTTCGGTCGGAGATTATGTTGAACGTATCCGTCGTAGACTCTGCGCACACGCAGTACCACCGCGGACACTACCCCAAAATAGAACATTTGCGATATAGTGGCTATCGTGGAATAGCACGTGGGGCCGGTAATCACGGCATTACTGCAATAGTAGAAGCCCTGGTAACTTAGGAGATTAGCCAGTACACTCAATCCAGAGCATAATAACATATGACAAATGAACCATGGTGTTCTGGGAGCCACTTCCCATTGCCCACTGTAGGCGAAGACGAACGCGCATACAGAGAGCGTAATCAAAAGTGAAAGTGAGAGGTATGCCGTGTCTGCTATATATACAACATTGGACGCGACTAAGGTGTCGCCATTAGTCGTCGAGCCAATTACGATCGGTAGAAAAATCAGTATTACCGCTATATCGGCGAGAAGACACAGCACCCATACTCGGGTCTTCTTTTTATGTGCCCGTGGTACACCATACCCACTTGTAGATTGGACCACATCCGGTATTGCCACACCCGGTATGTCTATTAAAAAATGCGAAGGTACACTTGATACACTCTGACCGCTTGGGAGATTGAGGAATTCCTCAAATGAATGCAGCTCATCTCCTTCCGCATCTAAAACATTTCATGTTGGAACCACCAACATATCTGTGCCGCTTTTTGTATCTTGACTGCATCCTACATCTTTGTCACTCATTTGTTCGATCGGCCGTTGGCGTGTGGCCGTCGACTTGATAACTTGTACCTCGTCCGTCATGTTTTACTAGGAATACATTGTTAAAATGAACTATTCTACTTCGCCAGAGCTGCTATTATATATAATTATATAATATTCAGTTCAGCACTTCAGCCTTCTAATTGTTTTGTTTTGTTTTATTTTGCTGTACGCGCTCGGGTTGGACTGTTGACACAAATATAACAAATTGACAATCTATTTTTAATATGAAAAGAACGGTATAGAATATAAAAACATTTAATTTGAATATTCACAGATGTAAAGCCTACGAGGTTCGGACACACGAAAGAGGGAAAAGGGAAGCAAGCTAAGTTTATTTAACTTGTGTTGATTGCAAACTTCACACTAGTAAAGTGAAGTCTGCAATCAACGGACCAACAGTATTTATACAGTTCCTGGCGCATTTACATCGTTGTGGTTGGCGCTTAGATATTTGGCGCGCAGACCGCCAAGTGGTCTCTCCGACGGTTTTACTTTCGTGTGATGATTTATAGCCCTCGGGTTTTACAACCCCCCATGCGTTCTACGCAGTAGCAACGTATTTGCACGTGGGGCATAAGTAGCCCGAACAGGATTGGTAGCAGTCAAGGTTCATGTTAAGTAGCCATATACTTGTCACGCCAGTCAAGTAGCTGGGTAGCTCGGTATTCCGAACTCGTAGCCAACCGGTATGCAAAATCTGCACCCGACTCGACGCGTCCAAATTGGTGATCACTCAAGTTGTCTCGTAGAAATCTAAGATCATCAGCTGTAAAAGCAGTGTCACTTATAGTATGTGTCTTAGTCTTAGCTAAGCCAAAATAATTCTTTAAGAAGACATTTGATTTATATGCGAACAAGATAGCCGAAGAGTAATTTCTGCCTGTTCGAGTTCAGAAGCATCTTTAAAAGGGCTAGTGTAAAATAGCCAACCAGTAAAGACAGAATTCCCAGGAGTACCGCGCACCGCCGGAGTGGGTATACCCACAGGTTCTGTATAAGCCTTCAGCTTTGATCGGTGGAATCGGTAGACCTTATCCGTTGCAATATCCTCGACTATATGCATCACTGGGGCATCCAATTTCTTCACTATAACAGGGCTACCCCAAAGCGTTCTAGCTTAGAACAGGTTCTGTTTTAGTTTATACATAACTTTGCGTCCTACCACGATCATCGGGGCATCATATCGATGCTTGTTTGCTTGTGTGGCTTGAGAGACCTAGGCCATACGGTTTCTCTCCCATACTTCCAAGTCCCTCTGGGTTGGAGGCGAAATCAGCTCAATCGGCTGCGCATCATCAGGTAGATCCTTGTTTAAGATAGTCTCCAAGTGCTTACGAGCACTGTGATGGTATTGCCGGTTCGTAACCAGGGTAAATGGTGAGACATGGGTAACTGTGTGAACACTTGAGTTGTAGTCTCTAGCAAATTTCCATGCATGTAGATCCCAAATTTTCTCACATCCACTTCATACACAATGCCGTTATGGCGATGGTCATCAGTTGCACCAGTTACCAAATGTCTCTGCCATAAAAGAGCCATCCCTATCAGCCACATATTCGTGTGTTGCCACCCATTGCTCAGGTTGATGTTTAAGGATGTTCAATGTATCATCTGCTGTCTTTGCACCAAAGAATTTCCCCCGTGTAGACTCCCATTACTGGGCCCGATAAAGCACCTTCAATGAAACAACCAGGGCAAGCTATTATCAAACGCAAGAGAAATGTTTCATCAAACGTCCAATTCAATTCCTCCTGTAGGGCTCGTCGTAAGCGCCTCGGGCGGAGGTGACCTCAGTCGTGGTGTGTAGCCCATATACATTCCAGGACAGTTTCTGGTTGAAATATTCGTCCGTGGACCGTGTATTGTTTCTTAGATAATAGAGTTATCACTTCGTCCAAACCCATGGTCTGGGAAGACGGAGGGGGCACCGCCGGAATAACTGTTGTCACCATTCGTGTTGTTGTAAGCGGTGCATCGCCAGTTGGTGTATTAGATACAGTGTATGGTCTCACAGAGTCGGATGGCGGCAGTGTATACCCCAAAGGTGCCGGTAGTGGCAACATGTCCTTGGCACAGGTTGGCGGCAAGGGAGATAAACACGAGGGTTCGACTGGTGGAACCCGAGGTGTTTGATAGTTTAACAGTGGGTATCCATCTGGTTCGGTAATAGTCGGTGGAACATAAGGGACTAATGCCCTTGAGGACACATGGAAATTGACTAAATTTCCTTGTGTTGTGGTCGTTTTCGTCGAGTCGAGTGCCTTAATAGAATTAAGTCCATTTATGGTAGGTTGGTTTCCTTCCTGTGGCACAGTAGTGTCTATTAATTGGCCATCATCATCTAGGTTGTGTTTCGAAGCTGGCGCCAAGGGCACAGACAACAAGGAGTTCTTTGAACTTTGAGTTTGTGGGTTATATGTTGAAGTCGTAGACATAGAAGGTTCGTGCGGCATAACAGTAGGGGAAGGTTTGGACCAGCGCCATTGGCGCGTTTCTATGGTGCGGGCTGCTATCGTGTTGAGCTCCTAAAACCACACACCAACGGTGGTCGAGTTCCCCTTTGGGCTAATGGCTTTACTGCCGAACGTCCTAAACACCGAACTAAATTAGAGTTACGTGCCGATCTGCTACGCAAGAAAGCCCGCCAGGCTGAGAAGGATTTGCAGGAGGCACGAAAGGCCCTGCTGAAGCCAAGAAGTAGAAGGCTGAAAACTGAGAAACCTGATCCTAACACGGACCAACTTACTCTTGAAGAAGAGTCCAAAGAGGACCACGAAGAAGAGCGTTGAAATCCTCAAAGAATCGTGATGATCAGACATCTGATCACCAACACACTGATGATGAAGAAAAGTACATCAATTCGATGTCTGACAACGATGATGGAGTCGTCCCGGCTCGCCCTGAGGGCCACTTCCGCTTCTCTACCAGTCGCCAGAAGTGGGTTTATCGTACCCAAGGAGATGTCTACAATTCTCGTGGCGAAGTCATCAATTGGGAAGATGGCTTTTAGTGGGATAGATCCCTCCACGCCTGGGCCCCACAGCAGCTTTATCATCGGGACCGTAACACAAAAGCATGGTGCCGAACTCCTCCGCTGCTCCCACAAGTTAATGACTTTGTTACCGACCAAATGCTTCTTCAAGAAGGGTACTAAGGGTGACAAACGGTCCATCCACTCTTGCTATTGCTTATGGCCAACGATCCCTTCTACATGGATCGCCTTAACCATGTCCTACGACATGATCCACCATTATTGAGGACTACTTGGGCATTACGAAGTGTGCCTTTTATCACCTGCACACGTATGCGGGTTTCCAGATTGCGTGTGCTGTCCTTGAAGAATCTTACGCACGGAAGTACCCGAACCACCACGCCACAAAAGAAAACGACAACAATCGCGACCACAATGGCCGAAATGGGAACCGTAACTACAACAATAACCGCCCTCTCCGCCGAGATCGCGAACGGGATCGTGAACGTGATCGCAACTATGACAGACGTGACCGCCGATCGGATAACCATGAAAAATCTCGTGATCGACAGGCTCGTGACAAACCTGCCACACGCAATGGTGGACGTCAGAGCATGAGCCTTTCTCAGACCGTTATCCCAGCTATTACTGAGGAACGTGACCGTTCCAGTTCTCGTGGCCGACGCCATTCGCGCTCTCGCACCCCCCCCACAAATATCGCTACACCGGGCAAAGGCCCAAATGGTGAAGATGTATGTTACAACAGCTTGCAGCCTGGCCACTTAATCGCCAACTGCCCCAATGACCGCTTTGCCGGCATCCTTCAGGTTGACGATTGAAGATCTGACGGGCCGATAGTGGAGGCCTACTTTTCGTCCACCCCAGCCTTATGCTATGCTGATGATGGTGCTATGCCGAATCTTGTTAATAAACAGTTCGCAATAGATGGGTGTTTGGCCGTTGAGGATATCGATCCCGTGTTCATGAATACATTCGGTGGTTGTACTTTAGCACCACCGACACAACAGTGCAAAACTACTGTTTTGATGCAAGTCTATGACTCAAAGAACTACAAAACTTACTTCGAAACGAAAGAAGATCTCTTCCATTTATGTGAAAATGAAATTCCTATGAACTGTGACTTTCTTTTGAGTTTCTGTGCCCAGCACACTAACCTATTAATTACTCATTGGGATTGTTCAACGTCGCCTCCTACTTTTGGATTTAAGGTCCAGGAAAATCCACACGAGAATAAATCCTAAACTTATTCTCCGACCAAGAAATTTATCCAGAACCCTTACATGGGTGTCCTCATACCTGCAGCCCAAGACGCAGCGGCAATTATGTAATTCCATCGTAGGTCTGCTGACAAACCAGAAGGCCTTGAACAATATAATTGGGATGGCGTTCACCGAGTTGCTAAGATTATTCACAAAACTCCGGAGCAAGTCCAAGAACTCAAGGATGCATATAACGATATACGTTATGATGAGAATAACCACAACCATATCTGGGGACTAGAGGTGCATATAAATGGCATGTAGTTTCAACCAACTTAAATACGACAAACAGTATGGGAATACCTGACATGGATGACTTCGACTGGTGATGTATTCCGCCCTATATACGGTGTCTTCGGTGTTAAGATGATGACTTTTGAACTCCAGGCAGCTGTTGACAAGATCTTTGCTTCCTTAAGGGAGGCCCTCAAGCATTTCGTTGACGACGGGGCAATGTCCCATTGGGGACGAGATGCAATAAATCGACAATGGCATGATCTGTTGCGCTACGCACGCATCGCCAAGACTGCAGGAGTACGCTTGCGACCCTCAAAATGCCATCTGATGTTACTCCGTGACTCTATCAAACAATATTATGGTCGTGATACAATCCACAACTATACCACGATCTCGGAAGATCACTTAAAGGCCATTGTATCAATGCCTCCGCCCCAAAATAAGGAGGAAGTCCACAAGGTTTGTGCCACTTTGAACTGGTGGTCACAATACATACCAAATCTTGCAACTATGCTGGCCCCCTTAACTGACTTGACTTCTAAGAATGTCAACTTCGTCTATACTGCTGCATGTCATGCAGCATACACCCTAGTCCAAGACTCTATCCAAGGCTGCAACATGCGGGTAACCCCCTATCCAAGTCATTACTTGCACATGATCTGTGATGCCTCGAATATAGGGATTGGAACAGGTATGTTCGTCCGTATACCACGTAAGGGTGAAGCCCCGGCACCTTTCCCTGTCGGTTGGGTGCAACCCTTGAGCTCAAAGAGAATGAATACGGCTGAAGCAGCCCTATAGGGAAACCTGATACAACAAAATCAATCTGTGAATATTTTTGCTTAGTCCTCATCCACTAATACCAATGGCCAATCTAATCCTGTGAAGACTACACCCCTTGTTAGAAAGCGCCCGGCAACGCCTACGGTCGCTATTGACTTGTCGCTTCTTAAACACAAACGGATCCGTCGTACGCAGCAGGAGAAACTATCAGAAAGAGAATATCTCTATTTGTACCGAGCACATCAACTCTCATGTGCAATAAACATGGTCAAAGACCCAACCCAAGTTATCGACCCTCGTATAGATGGTTCTGTATTAATGGTGTAGACCGGCTCTACCCTTTTGCGTATCGTAGCACAAAGCTTAATACGCCTGATTTGGAGACTATGGCTATAGCCTATGGTGTAGACAAAGATGAGATGACCATCACGGCCAACTACAATCCATTAACTATATGGACGGACCACGAGAATTGCCTCATGTTCTTCCACCCTAATATGACTTTTGCACCATCAGTCCGGGGAGGCCGCCTTCAGCGTTTGACAGAGAAAGTGAAGCGCCACGCCATTGACATTCGCCAAAGTGAAGCGCCACGCCATTGACATTCGCCATATCCCAGGAGAATGGAACTATGTCGCGGATATGTTTTCACGTTGTCCGGCAAAGTTAGACCCCATCATGCGGTTTACACACCAGCACATATCTTGGGCACCTGCCCCGGAAAGTGAAGTCTGCAACCAACGGACCAACAGTAATTATACAGTTCCTGGCGCAGTTACATCGTTGTGGTTGGCTCTTAGATATTTGGCACGCAAACCGCCAAGTGGTCTCCTCGACGGTTTTACTTTCGTGTGATGGTTTATAGCCCGAGGTAAAAAAAAAGCATATTCAGTTTAAATAAATAAATAAAAATAAAATAAAATATAAATCGAGTATGTAGTGCGCACATAGTTACTCTTGGACATTCTGTTAGAAAAGGAGTTACTTCATTTGAAGAAATAGCTAGTATGCGGAATTAAGCACAAATGTGTGAGATAATACCACGTGAGTTTCACAATAAGCTTATAATCCAAAGGAGGTTATAAGCAATATGATAACGGTGATTCACAATTCAAAGACTATATGAATTGGTATCTATACATATGTATTTTAAGAAATATAATATTCAGAACCGTAGTCAGATATCAAGGACTCAAAGTATGTGCTACGGGAACGACATATTAGATGTTAGGATTGACTTAATAAAAGACAAATATAATGTAGATGTGACGAGTGTGTTATGCACAGCTTGGCATTGGTCAAGCTAGATAGAGAACTTACCTTAAAAGGCAGAACAACACACAGGCTCGCTGAAGTACAAGTTGATGAAATGTACTAGTAAATAATATGTGACCCAGGGCAGAAGTGATGTTCTAATTAGGAGGGGTTGGCTATGTTCAAGAATGAAGTAGGGTGAAGTGAATACCGTAAGAGGTATTTCGAGCAGCTCACAGCACAAGTGCTGAGAGGAAGCAGTGAGACGGTGATGCTGGGATGTTAACATAGGAAAGTATGGTTAATATATTTACAGGTTGTTGAAGGTTGTAATTTGGTATAAATAGTATACCCAGGTAGTTCATCATATCAACTATTCGAGGTCAACAACTTGTGTAGTAAACTGTGACAATAAACAAGGTTTCTTCCACCGAAAGGTGGTTTTCCTTAACAAACTGCAGTACACTAATTAACTCAATTCAGCGCACTACAATCAATATATATATATACTATATTGACATGGGTCATGTTCTTAGGTCTCTAGGCCGTCTTGGATCATATGATACTGTCATGTTGATATTTCATATTTGATATTTTTATATTTAGTCTCATGGATGGTAAAACAAAAAAGATGGATACATATTTGAAAAAAAAGTATTTTGTTCAAAAAATGATGGAGAATTAAAAAAAATAAAATGACATATAAATATTTTAGAAGGCTATGGTAAATAGTATTTATGCACAGCCACAAAGCCTATAGTATTTCTATTATTTATATAGCACAACCCTGAATAACTAGCCATGATCGTCTGGTTGCTTATTAATATTAGCATCCGAAATAGTATTGTCTATAATATTTTTGTTGCTAGTACTGTTTTTCGTCTTCACTTGCACTCCAAACCCGCGATGCAGCCCCGATGAGTACCGTCTGCGCCCCGTTAGCCGGTCGGATTGCGAGTTGACATCCACCAATGGAGTGCTACTAGAATTGTATATTCGCGTGTGGCTCCACATCTCGATACTAGCCATACCTTTCTGACCATCGTTACTAGGTCCTACCATCTCGGAACTCCGCCACCCGCTGCTACTTCCCTCCTTTTTAGTATTGTTACTTTCACCAACGTGACTATCAATACTACTTTTCTTAGTGTCCGATTTACCGTGCGGATGCCTCGTGTTCTCACTGAATGCTCTGGGTGCAGACGTTACTCGTTCAATGGCTTCCTCGGCCAAGGAGCGCGTATCGAACGGAAAATGCTGGCTGTGGGCATGCGCATTTTGCTGTGCGATTGGTGGCATGAATACCATTTGTTTAGTCCGCATATGTTACCATTCTTTTAGTCTATGCATGTTGGTGATTGCGTACAAGAAGTTCGAGTCGCACACAACTATTCAATAGATGCCAATGCAATAGACTATATTTCAAAAATTATATTCCTTTTCGAAACATATGCTAGCAACGCAACTTACCGCTTCAGGCAAGAGTATTATCACATGAAATTATCACGTTGGTCACTGTGACAGTGGTGGTTCGCATAGATATGATTGCTGCTCTAGACACTGGTGGATATCCCACATAAGGATAGCATGTGTTGTTGAAACAGTATTATTTTTCGCAGACGAATAGGAAAATATGGATCCATGTCTCCAGTGGAAAGTCTCTTGACTGCATAACCTCATCCACTCATCTAGTAGGTGCAGCGCATGATCTTACTTACAAAACACACATGCACACACATACAGAGCCATCACACACAGAATTCATCGTGTACACTAAAACGTTTTACTACGATCTCCTCCCCTATTCCGGACTTGATTGTATATTTCAAGTACAAAAAATTTCGCAAGAAAGGAATACGCATGAGACTATCACGCTCCACTACTATATATAGAACACTTAACATGCCGCCAGATCACATCGAACACTTACCTCCTGCGACGGGCGTTTGAGCGTCAGATTGGCAGGCGATGAACTTAACCACTCTGCACTCGCATCCTGTGGTTCTGGAGCCTGTCCCATTTCACCGGGCGCTTGCAGCACTGATGTGATGGTCTGGTGATGGAGAATTACAGAGGAAACTAGGTAAATAACAAATACTCTTAGTTCATCGATCCTATGGTTTAGAATGCAGTAGAAGTTGATTAAAGGTTATGTAAGGGAATTTCTAGGATGTGTTGTACCCGCACATGTATAAAAGCGCCTAAGGCAGGATCGGTAGAGATACTAATAACTGTCAATCTAAGATCACATATCCACGTAATATAGTGTATATACCACGTACATAACGGACTTACAGTATATGATATTATTAAATCAATAGTAATTACTGGTAGCGATGTCACTCTTTCATAATTTTAAGTATATTTACCCACGTACATACTTGCCATACATTTATGGTATAATTACATGTATAACAGTATCAGTTAAGTAGTGTCGCAATACGCAGCCCAAATATTAATGGCAGATTAATCTGATGTATACATCTCAAGCACGAACCCAGCATATATATATGGCAAGACGACATTCGTATTCATATTGTGGCGAGAAATAGCACCATACAAGCATACCTGCAAAGCCGCACAAAGTCCGCACGAAGCGTCTATCATATTCGAAGAGCGTACACTGTTAACTGATCCAGAAAATAAACAAAGACGGAGACTCAGCAGAAGTGAAGTGATGGTGAAATCTTACGCACACCTGAGCAGAATCCCAAAAAGATCTAATTTCCTGAGGAGAAGATGATACTCTATAACCCAATTCTGAAAGTCCGTCAAAGAGTACAAATGTTCACTAGCACGGAGACAAACATATATATAGATATAGACATAGATATAGAGATATTTATATATATAAAAATATAAACATATATATAGATATAGATATAGATATATATATATATATATAATATATATATATATATATATAAACACTTACAGACACAGGCAGATACAGATACAGACACAGACACAGACGCATACACAGACATAGACATATATATGTATATATATATATCATTATCATGTACATAAAAAACGGTTCAAGGTATGAGATCCTTAGGTGTTGGTGATCTTCCATACAACGTGTATGTGGCAATCACAACTGAAGATACAACAAATGAAAAGCACTCTGCTACATTGCATAGAGCAATATCTGCAACTGGTCCATCAACTTCAGTGTGAATAAACTAAATCTCAGTACGTTGTTACTTTTTGAACCATTCAAGTGAAGTTTAAGCTGATGCATTGCCAGCGAATATATCACCTACATTAAGCCACAAAGGCCATTCAATACATACTGTCTCCATACACAAATAGTACACAACCACACACTTATATGGATCCTCATGCAATCGAGTGGGAATCCTCGCTTTAAAGTACAGATGAATAGCCTTGTCAGTGACAATCATGTACGGCAACCTTCAGAATAACGTACCTATGACCGCTGCTATTGACTTTCGGTACGATCCGGTGAGATGGGCCGCGATGTTGTACTTGGGTTTCACCTGCAGGGTTGTATTGTGCGGAGGTTCAATGCCGGTATTGTGGGAGTCTTGATGCACACATGCTTTATACTGTCAGGCCTGGGCGTATAGATATACTGCGACTGCATATCACGATTGACGGGGAAGATCATAGCAATTGATATACTAGGCTAAAGCAGCGCAACACGGACTTGCACCTAAGGTATATAGCTCCGCTTATATGGGTAGGTATCACAGACGAACCACAAGGCCATTCACCATCTAAGCTACAATGCGATTACCCGTTTAAACTACCAAACGGATAGACAGATGATATAGTAGACATGCGCATATACTCAATCCGGTCTCCTGGCAAACTACACTACACGGGTCCAAAGGAACTCATGCATGTAGTGAATGTACATCTCAAACCACAGATGCTGTACCACAGCCAGTTGTGCGCATGACTCAAACTCGAACGTAACTATAAAGAACCCAAGAAGGGTTCTTAAACAGACACAGATACACACACACGCACGTACACACACAGATACACACACACGCACGTACACACACAGATACACACACACGCACGCACGCACACCCCCCACACAAAAGAATGGAAGCAGAGCTCACCTTCACAAATCTCTCCATAAAGCTAGGATCCACCACGATATCGCCTGTGGCACTGATGATATAGACCACACCCACGTGCTTGTAGCCGAGATCGATTACTTTCAACCAGCTATGTATTTATGTATGAGCGCAGAGAAAGTAAACTTCAATACGTGAAACTGACGACATATAAAGCCTAATAACGATGGAAGATTATGACAAATATAATGCTTGAATGTGCAAGCCGGGATCCATTCTTTTCGATCCTACATACATACTATATGTCTATCTAAGTATAGCAAGATTATGACAAATATAATGCTTGAATGTGCAAGCCGGGATCAGTTACTTTCGATCCTACATACATACTATATGTCTATCTAAGTATAATGCTCGAATGTGCAAGCCGGGATCCATTCTTTTCGATCCTACATACATACTATATGCCTATCTAAGTTTAATGCTTGAATGTGCAAGCCGCGATACATTTCTTTCGATCCTACATACATACTATATGTCTATCTAAGTATAATGTTTGAATGTGCAAGCCGCGATACATTCTTTTCGATCCTACATACATACTATATGTCTATCTAAGTATAATGCTCGAATGTGCAAGCCGCGATACATTTCTTTCGATCCTACACACATACTATATGCCTATCTAAGTATAATGCTTGAATGTGCAAGCCGCGATACATTCCTTTCGATCCTACATACATACTATATGCCTATCTAAGTATAATGCTTGAATGTGCAAGCCGCGATACATTTCTTTCGATCCTACATACATACTATATGCCTATCTAAGTATATGGGGTTGGCATTATTACGTTAAAACCAGGACACGAGGAAAGACGCTGGTTGTGCGTGGACCTTGACATAGTTGTCGAAGAAATGGACTGTTGGGGGCATTCAGAGTATTACACACACGGTAATGTACAAAAGGTTCTTTCTGAACGTACACACACACACCATGCCATCTAGACAATTGCCACAAGTGCGTATCATTCCGAGTACGTGGCCACAACAACACATACAGACACGCGCATACAACACACTGGATCGACTAGTCACACACGCACACACTCCATATACCAGCACACACACGTTGTCCATGGACATTGCCACATCCAATAGATGAACTATCGCACATACCCGCTTTGGGACAAAACCCTAAACCCCAAACCCTAAAACCCATGGTATTCGACATACATGAACTTGGGCACGGAGGTCACTGGATCCCCGTCATTGACAATCCTGATGCAATGAAGAAGGTATGACGGCCGGTAATGTGCCGTCGGACGAAAGTACCGAACAGGTTTGGAATGAAACGATTGAATTGTAATTAGAAATTAGAAATGTGAGTGATCAAGCTGTCCAGAAGAAAACATAGTACACCTGATGAGTTAACAACATACGCGCACAAACGTACAACAGCAACGGCACGCATCAAGTGACTTCAACAGATGGACTGGTACAACTCTGATGTGTTTGAGGTTAGTGCATTTATACCGGATAATGATTGTTAATGAAATGAAATGAATAAACGTAGCTACCTATGCAAGGACAATATATATATATATATATACATATATATATATATATATATACAATATATATATATATATATATATACTATATATATATAGTANATA